TTAAGAGCTTGTTACGAATGTATTGGGTTAATGTATATGTTGTGAGAAAATTGTTTTGCTTTGTCTGAGGAAGAATTATTTAAATTACCCAGCTTTAATTTTTGTGTAAATGTTTTGTGTAGGGGCTTGAAAATAACCTTTTTGTATGTTCAGATTTTCCAGTTGTTGTCAACGTTAAACTGCAATTATAGAATTTATTTTATCTCACATTAATGTAAACAAATCCCATATCTTCATTGTAGTTATTAGATATTCGGTTTATAAAACTTCCTATCTTTTGAAAACTGTCTCCAAAATTTCAAATCCACAAAATGTGTCATTGGTTGTTGCTATTAATCTCTGCTTTTGCCACATTGTGCTGTATATGCTTTTCTTAACAGAAAAGAGGGTAAAAGATGGGGAGAGCATGATAATGGCAAACAAAGAGGATATTTTTATTTGTTTTGAGTGAAATACTCTTGAATGAAACATACGTGCCCTGAGAATATTCTCACTGAAAGTTGTTCTCTATGGGCAGTGCTTTCCAAATCTAAATTACCGCGTTCAGTGTTTAATGGTAGGTGCTATAGAAGTTGCTGAGATAGATACAGGAATTGAAAGTAGCGTTTGTTTTTTGGGTAAGGTGCTGGATTGAGATTTGGGTTCTAGGCATGGTTCTCCCCTTACTACTATGATCTTGGGCAAGTCACTTAATCATGCTGTGCCTCAAATCTCCATCTGCAATGAATTTGCGTGTCATCGTTGCGCAGGGACCATTATAATCTTCTCTGTATCATTCCAATTCTAGTATATGTGCTGCCAAAGCATGAGTAATATAGTTCTTTTCTCCCACCCTTTGTCTTTCCTGTCTATTTAAACGTTGATCATGTAATGGGTTCTCCACTGGCAGACCCCCTGCACCCACACAGTGCCCCATTTGTTTAATTAATTTGCTGTGTTGACCAAACTCGTTAAAACTGTTTATTTCTTGTTTTGTTTGATAGAAAGTATTGTATATATGCATTATACATAATCACGCTTGAAATGTCTCTCAAAAATGACAAGGTATGCCGTGGAAAGCAGAGGCTGAAAGCTTGATGTTTGTTAGTTTTCTCCATTGAGGAATATTATGATATAGATGTTTATGGATAATGATTACATCTTATTGATTACATTCACATGTGTAGCATTCTACATAAATGGCTAAAATATGCAAGTTTATAGTCCTCCGTATCTTTATATAACAGCTTTGTATAGACTCTTAGCACTTGATGGGGGCACAGCTGGAAAACATCCTGGATGGACTCAAACCAAAAGAGGCATCCACTCTGTGATCAGAATCCACTACATTAGCAACATATGTTCTTATGGTTTATCCTTACATTGTCCTGGCATCTACTTCTCTAAGATTTTAATACCTAATACAATAACAGAGTACCATCAATATGTTCCTAATAGCAGATATAAAGTATCTGGTAGTAGTCCATCTCTCATAAAACTGCCTTTAGCCTTAATTCAAATTAATTGATTCCTATTCCAGTTAAACCTGAAGAACTTAATATGTCTTTTAATCCTTTTATTGTAAGCTAAGATAAAATTAATTTTACCCTAGAACTCTGCAAAGCCAATTAACATGATCTTTAGAGTTATTTAGTAAAGTGCTTCAAACTGTTAAATTTATCCTGACCTCGTGGTTGCACTCTGACTGCTTTTTAAATGAAGTAATCAATATCTCACAACCCTTTAAACAGTTTAAACTTCTCAAATATTTTACTCATATTTTTATTTAAACAGTTCAGAAAAATATTTACTCATATTAAGGTATCTGTAGAGACCATGGTTAACTACTGGCTTTGTTTTAGTATTAAAGAGATTTTATGCTTTGAAATATATTTTAATGTGTGTGTTCATTTTGCTAAATCTGAGCAAATGAAGAAATCTGTCACTTCTATTTGTGTGTAATACAGAAAGTGTGTTATCTATATGGTTTAAAATGTAGAACATTTTCTCCTTTCACCGGTGTAGCTTCTTTTTTCCACATAAAGCTATTTGAGGTTATTAATTTTCTTACTGTGATAGGGTGATCAACCGTCCTGTCAAGAAAATGGATCTCTGTGTCACCCTTTAGCATGATTAAATGGAGGCACGTCGCTGTGAGAAAATACCAAATTTTCATGAGACAAATGCAACTGTAGAAAGGACTATTTTTATAGACATTTCATTTTAAAATCTCCCATTTGGCTGTCAGTTTATTTGTAGGCAATCATTACAATTAATTGTGTGTTCCTACTAATAATTCAAAGAAAGTAAGGGCAAAAACAAGTGCTCACTCAGAGATTTTTTTTCCCTTTGAAGGAGGAAAAAAATACAGTGATGAGAGAGAAGGAGCAATTTATGTTGGTACAATGAGTTGCTAATGAGACTGTCAGAACTACATTACCTTCACCCTGTTTTGGTCACAGCATTTACTGCTTTGTTAACAAAGAGTCAGATTCTTACAATCTAGAGACTCTTGAGAAGTACAGTTGTAAGAATTGCTGAGATTTAAACTCCTATATGCTTAATATACAGACCATGAGTGGTAGTGTCAGCCAGTGAATTTTCATCTATAAATTGTGAGATAAATGCATAATAGCCTACTTTTTAGAATATAATTAAAATATCTGGCAATAGGGCGATTGATAGTTTAACTTTAACTTCAGAATTCTGGCATTATGGGACACGCACCTGTTAATGGGTTACTTGTTAGTTTAGGGGTGAAATTTGACAGATTTATTGGACGTGGCTTATGATTTTAAGGATATTGTTTTAAAATACATCCTTTACGATACAATAAAGGGTTAATTCAATATTATTGTAATCAAACAGAAGGAAGAACAACAAGGTGGGGGCAGGAATTCACCAAGTGCCTCTGTTGTTTAATTTCCTACTGGAAGCAGCACATGTGTTTTTTCTTTCTTTCTTTTCTTTTCTTTAAGCAGTGGCCATTGCAGAGGCTGAGCGGCTGGGGTCAATGCCTTGCCTATTGATCAGTATCCCTGCAGTCCCCTGCTCCAGCATCTGCTTCATTGGCTTCTTTCAGTGCCTGCTTCAGTACATTAGAATAGAAATCCATAACCAGAGCTGTGCTCATCCAAGCAGGGGAAGAAACTAAATTAAATGGTATAAAACAATCTTGGATCAGGAGTTTGTGCCAATTCATCTTGATCTAAGATGTCACACCGGGCTCTCTGTCTGAGCACCTGGGCTAGAGGCGGCCATAGTGAAAATAGATGGAGCCGCGATCATTCATTTGTCAGCTAAGGAGCTCGGCAGCGGTTAGCAATTCCCTTCTGCAGAGGTCAGCTGACAGAACAATCAGTGCAACTGCAGAATAGAGCTTTCCTTTGAACTATTGTTATGGAGCATGCTTCTTGCTGGGGCTGGGGGAGGGGAGCATGGTTTGCTTCATGTTCCAAGTATGCTATATAAAACACATAAAAGGATAATATATTTATATATCGAAATCTCAGGTACCATTTGTGTGTTGTCTATCTTAATTATGTATATGTGAAATAAGTTATAAAAAATTAAAATGTTTAAGTATCACTTTGTTTATAGTCGATTTTCATCCTTCTTTCTGGGAAGGCAGTGACTATTGATTTTTTTTCCCCCTTAGCATTGTTAAGGTTTTAGAGTCTTACCCACCCCACCCCTTTGGTTGGCATATCACCATCATAGCCACAGCATCACCTGAATTGGGACTATATTCTAATAGGGATGCTTATACTTGTTTTATTTTTTAAGTAATATTTACTTTTCTATCAGTACAGTAGTATGAAATTCACTAGAAAAGCTAGACATATAGTAGACCCTCACTAATTCACACTTCATTATTCAAACCCAGTATTTTCTCACAGTATACCAGGTAGTCTCTTCCAACTTCTCAACAAAGATTTAATCGCAGAGTGCTGTGGGAGCTAAGACTTCATTACTTTTGCAAGATATATGCCAGTGAAATTGGTGGTGTAGTATGAGTTATTATTATAAGTGTATCTGAACTGTAGTTGTCAAAATATATGAAGAAGGTACATTTTATGATGAAATATCTTTGGGGGGATGTTGATTGTGGTTGTGCGGGTACTCACTAAATCACCAAATTTGGTAATCTGCAGTACTTGAGGGAAATAAAAAGGTTGTGTGTGATATATTGGATTATTAATAACTATATTTGAAACTTTGCAATGAGATTTTTCCCCTCGTTTTAGCAAGCACATTAGTTAGTATACTGTAATTAGCATCATGAGATCGAAAATAATTTGCACAATGCCATGTACTGTTGCGGTGGGTTAAAAGTAATCATCAAAAAAGAAGAGGATGGTCACTTAAATAACAGGCAGCTTTTTATAACATGAAAAATATATGTATTTTAAAAAGTCTATTTCCTAGACTATTTCTGTGAAGATAACCTGTTTGTCTTAAATCAGATTAATACTGATGTAAATAAGAATCAAGATCACAATTCACCTTCCAGAAAATACTGATTTAATAGCTGCAGAATCCTAGAAGTCTTTCACTCTTTTTCAATGAACAAATTTGGAGGAACTATGAAATTAAAACAGCTTTTCCTATAAGAACATGCTACTTTTCTGTAGGTGGCACTGAAGACTGAGGAAGGGGAAAGTCGTACTTAAATTTTTAGCCTGGACTGGGGACTCTGAGAGACAAAATGGAACCAGGACCAATCATCTAAAAATTGTCTGGCTCCACATTTTCCTGTAGGGGGAAGTAAGCATAGCAAACAAGTGCCTTGAGATTGAAAAGAGACCAGTTTTGTCCTCCCATTTGACCTTTGATATGTATTTGATGTTTTCTGACAACTCTCAATAACATTTTCCCAGCAGTATATATTCAAGTAGCTGAAAAGTAGTTTTGTTATAAATATGAAAAATTCTCATAAATGTGTAAAATTTGATTGGGATGGCCTTCCACTTCTAATATTGCTGACCAGTCATCCTAATGCCCTTTATTTTACATTGCAGGTTGTCTGTCTGGTCTCCCACAAATGAAAAAAATATCTACATCTTATGAAGAGAGACGGAAGCAAGCCACTGCTATTGTCTTGCTAGGAGTGATTGGAGCAGAATTTGGAGCTGAAATTGAACCTCCAAAACTGTTGACGAGGCCACGCAGTTCCAGTCAAATTCCTGAGGGATTTGGTTTAACTAGTGGTGGATCAAACTATTCCTTGGCAAGACATACTTGTAAGTATTCAATGTTGTGTCCTCCATTGCTCTTTTAACCACATCATAACTATTCAGTGGGTTTTATTTCAATACTCCTTGTTCACTAATAATCTCATTTTCATAGAGTAAGGAAAAGGAACCAACTTTGAGCAGTTAGCTTCATATTAGTATGTTGACTATCAGGAAATTATTTCTGAAATATGTAGCTGAGCAATATATGAAGTTTATGAATAGATGGTGGGATTTTCAAAAGCACCTGAGGGAGTTAAGTTCCTCTCCCATTAAAGTCAATTGAATTCTTTCAAGGTTGGACTTGTAATGGGAATTGGTTGCCTTACGTGCTTTTGAAAATTCCACCGATCTAGATAGTGTAGATTTACAAGCACCCAAGAGTGCATGTGTGCATACCACTGCTTCTGCTTTCCTCTCAAAAATACCTATATGGCCTAATGGGAAAAGTACTAGATTAGGAACCAGGAGACCATGAGTTCTGGTCCCATAGCTTCCACTGAATGGCCTTAATTCTCAGTACTTCACAACTCTTTCTGAGTAAGGGCTGGCAAGTATAATTTACTTCCTTCCCTGATACTTTATGAACAAGGATCAGTTAAGTCACCCAGGATCCTATCTGGCAGAGCTGAAATAGAATTTAAGTCTCTGATATGATAGAACAAAGAGTTTGACAAGGTTACTGAAAATGTGATGGCTTCTAAGGTCCAATAAGATCTGTGCTGTTACAGCATATTGAACCTTCATAGTTGGGTTCAGAACAGGACATGGCCCTGCTGGTGCTGATGGACCTATCCTGACTGTGAACAGGAAACAAGCTTCCATGTTTATATTGCTGTCTTCAGCAGTCAGTGCCAGTGAATGATCCTTTGATGCTAACATTCATGAGAACCTAATAGGAGCAAATGTACATTGGGTGCATTCACTTATCTTGGACAGGTTTTGAGGGCTGTGGTACCTCTGACAGAAACCTTATCATGTGAAGTCCAGAACAGCTTAATATTCTCACTCCTCTTCTACATCTTCATTGGACTACTCATATAGATCATGAGGCACCATGGTACCACCAGCATGTGGATAATAAGAATAATTTATAGTAATTATAATTAATAGAGCATGAAAATATATCTCTTCACTGCACAAGTGCAACATCTACACGATGATGACCCAATACCTGGAAAAAATAAGCAAATGAATTAAAAGCATTCTAGTGCTCTGACTCAAACGCAGTCCAAGAGAGAGATAAGTGGTGATTGTAGGGAAAGGTGAAAACATTATACCGAGCTTGCCAATGCTCTCACCTACCATTGGTTCAGGATGTCAAAGTACAGTCAATCAAAGTGGCACGCAGCCTCAAACTCGTGCTAGATTCTTCATTGCTTCTGGATGTATGGTACAATTACAGTGGTGAGTAATGCTTTTTTTGGTGTTTAGCGATCTAGGAAATTGTCCTCACAGTGGGATTCTAGTTGCAATGATCCATGCATTTGTGACCTTTAGGCTGCACTTCTGCAATGCTTTGCACCTAAAAATGAAAATGCTGACCCTGGACAAGCTCCAGTCAGTTCATAATGCAGTGTCCTGCCTACTTAAGAGCAGAGGTCACCAAGGCTTTGTCTACTGTAGCATGTCTGAAGATATGCTGTTTTCTCTTCATTTCTTACCCTCCTAGTTGTTCTACTTTACAGGGTAAAGTATCAGGTGCATACATGTGGTTAAACAGAGAAATTCTGTTTAAAAAAAAAAATGCTTTTTTTCCTCCTCTAAAACTTACTTCTAATTTCTGCGTAGGTAGTTTTGCATCAAGGTTGTTTTCAAGGATGATGTATAAATGAGTCACTTTGTTGAGTACTGTGAATTCTCCTAAGATCCAGAAAAATTATCTTATTTTAGTATCCAAAAGCCCGTTGTTGTAGGTGCTCTACAAGTTAAAGGTACACAAGGAAAAGCCACCTGGCTCCTGAAAAGGAAGGGGAATGCCTGTTGAGAGAACACATGCACTCAGCAACGTATAGTTAGTTAGTACCCATTACACCTCTGGTGTTTAGGGCAACAACGAAGCTCCTTCACTCCTGTCTGTTTTTGGCAAATCTTTCAATGGTTCCCCAGCTGTGGTTTTTCAGCTCAGCTTCCACTGCTCTTCACCATGTTGTTTTCGGGCAGCCTCGTTTTCACTTGCCTTCCGGTGTCCATCTTAGTGCTATTCTGGTGATGGAATCAGTTTCCATCTGAAGCACATGGTCAATCCATCTCCAATGCCTCCGGTAACAATGGTGCTCATATCTTCTTGGCTGCACTGTATGAATAGGTCTTGGTTTCAGATTGTTCTGGGCCAAAAGATACGGAGGATTTTTCTGAGACAGGTTGTATGAAATGAAGACGGTTTGGACATATCATGTTTTTTCGTTCCCCAGCATTCTGTGCTATAAAGTAGTGTTGAGAGTACGCAGCTCTAAATCTTAAGTTTGGTTTTGGGGTTGTATTTTGATGATTTCCAGACTGTATTTAAGCTCCTGAAGGTGTTCTGGGCTTTATTGATTCTATTCTGGATATACTGGTTTCTTCCACCATCCTGGCTGATGGTGCTGTCCAAGTATGTGAATGTTTCTACATTGGTGAGAACATGATAAACGTATTGGTGATGGTGAGGCAATATTAAGGGTCACGATATCTGTCTTATTGCAGCTGATTTTTTAGTCTGATTTGCTGGCTGTGTGCGTTGAGTTGGGTTGTTTTTTCTTGTATGTGGTGTTGGGTTTCAGAAATAAAGTTCTTGACGCACTAAATTACTGTTTCTTGGAGAAGCTTGTCCTGGAACCCACAAGAGGACGCAATTCTTGATGTAGTACTAAGTGGTGAATATAGTTGGACTGTTTGGTAATAGTGACCATAATATAATTAAATTTAACATCTCTGTGGTGGGGAAAACACCATAGCAACCCAACATTGTAGCATTTAATTTCAGAAAGTGGGACTACACAAAAATGAGGAAAGTAGTTAAACAGAAATTAAAAAGGACAGTGCCAAAAGTGAAATCCTTGCAAGCGGCATGGAAACTTTTTAAAGACACCATAATAGAGGTTCAAATTAAATGTATACCCCAAATTAAAAAACATAGAGAACCAAAAAAGTGCCACCATGACGAAACAACAAAGTAAAAGAAGCAGTGAGAGACAAAAAGGAATTCTTTAAAAAGGGGAAATTAAATCCTAGTGAGGAAAATAGAAAGGAGCATAAACTCTGGCAAATGAAATGTAAAAACATAATTAGGAAGACCAAAAAAGAATTTGAAGAAGAGCTAGCCAATGACTCAAAAAGTAATAGCAATTTTTTTAAGTACATCAGAAGCAGAAAGCCTGCTAAACAACCAGTGGTGCTACTGGATGATCAAGATGCTAAAGGAGCACTAAAAGATTATAAGGCCATTGCGGAGAAACTAAATGAATTCTTTGCATCAGTCTTCACAGCTGAGGATGTGAGGGAGAATCCCAAACCTGAGCTATTCTTTTTAAGTGACAAATCTGAGGAACTGTCCCATATTGAGCTGTCATTAGAGGAGGTTTTGGAACAAATTGATAAACTAAACAGTAATAATTCACCAGGACCAGATGGTATTCACCCAAGAGTTCTGAAGGAACTCAAATGTGAAATTGCAGAACTTCTAACTGTAGTTTCTAACCTATCATTTAAATCAGCTTCTGTACCAAATAACTGGAGGATAGCTAATGTGATGCCAATTTTTAAAAAGGGCTCCAGAGGTGATCCTGGCAATTTCAGGCCAGTAAGTCTAACTTCAGTACCAGGCAAAGTGGTTGAAAGTATATTAAAGAACAAAATTGTCAGACACATAGATGAACGTAATTTATTGGGGAAGAGTCAACATGGTTTTTGGTGAGACATGATTTCCCTTTACAATTTACTAGAATTCTTTGAGGAGGTCAGCAAGCATGTGGACAAGGGTGATCCAGTGCATATAGTGTACTTAAGTTTTCAGAAAGCCTTTGACAAGGTCCCTCACCAAAGGCTCTTAAGCAAAGTAAGCTGTCATGGGATAAGAGGGAAGGTCCTTTCATGGATTGGTAACTGGTTAAAAGACAGGAAACAAAGGGTAGGAATAAATGGTCAGTTTTCAGAATGGAGAGAGGTAAATAGTGGTGTCCCTCAGGACTCTGTACTGGGACCAGTTCAATTCAACATATTCACAAATGATCTAGAAAAAGGAGTAAACAGTGAGGTGGCAAAATTTGCAGATGACACAAAACTACTCAAGACAGCTAAGTCCCAAGCAGACTGCGAAGAGCTACAAAAGGATCTCACAAAACTGGGTAACTGGGCAACAAAATGGCAGATGAAATTCAATGTTGATAAATGCAAAGTAATGCGCATTGGAAAACATAATCCTAACTATACATATAAAATGATGGGGTCTAAATTAGCTGTTACCACTCAAGAAAGAGATCTTGGAGTCATTGTGGATAGTTCTCTGAAAACATCCACTCAATGTGCAGCAGCAGTCAAAAATCTATATAAATCCCTGGTATGCATACATCCTGAATACTGTGTGCAGATGTGGTCGTCCCATCTCAAAAAAGATATATTGGAATTAGAAAAGATTCAGAAAAGGGCTTCTTGAGGTCTGGGTGTGTGCTACTTTATTTTTCAAGCAATTTGGTAATACTAGTTTTCCTGAAGAAGGTATTAAGTATTAGCAGGAGGCATAATTGTTCTTTGCTGGGTTTCACGAGCCAGGAGCACCATGGCTCCATTTCACAGGTTGTGGCTCTAATATTTTCCAGGGATTCTTTACCGTCATCCTGTTTGATAGAGTCAAACCCTGGCAGGGATGTTTGACAAGATGGCCTGGTCAGAAATGGAATTTTCTCTCCTTAAAACTATCAGCAACGTACTCTGAGCACTCTTCATAGTAATCAGTGGTTGGACTATGCAGTCAGGGTTAGTTAACCTGTTCACTAAGCAGAATGTGATTCTTCTGCCTTAAGTGCAAAAGA